GGGCCGGTTCAGGCTCTACCAAATTTCCAAACGACTCTTCGCCACCACCCACACCCAGCTTCCCGCCCTATGACGTTCGGACACTTCACTTCGTGGCATGCGGACGACCGTGTCTACTATTCAGGGCCCCGCGGCCGACGACGACGGCGTGCGCGCGCGAAGAAAAAACGAATGTGTCCAATATGGTATTATTTGACAGGGATGATGGCCGCTGAGGGGTCCTATTGAAATTGCTGGCGCAGGTGCGGCAACCGTGTTGGGTCGTTCTTCGGGGGGATTTTTTTTAGAGCACTGGGCAGAAGTTCGAAAAAGTTGCTCGCAAACGCCCGTTTGACAGAAATGTTTAAAAAGTGTTGGGTTTCCTACAAATCCGCAAGAGCGCGCGGGATGAAATTTTGACATTTTTTTTGAAAAAACAATTGTTTTTTTTTTTTATGTTTTTTATGTTAACATCGTTACGAAACCTAAGGTTTTTGGAAGGAATTTTCGTCTTGCGCGGCGCGTAAATGTCCACTTTACAACCTTATTTTTGTGTCAAGGGATTTCTTTGAAGTTTGGTTATGTCAGGAACAAGAAATGTCCACTTTCCACCGGCTCCTCACGCAAGGGAAAGACCGATCAGGATCATATCCTCGAGATTGTTCCCGAGCGGACCAACCCGTTTTTTGCCTGAGACTTCCTCACGAAAATGATGAAAATGAGGCTGCGGCCTAGGCGCGGCGGGGGGGTCGTGCACCAGGGGCCCCAACAATAATTATTCTTAAGAAGAAATAATGTTCAACAACAACAACAGCAACAACAACAACAACAACAACAACAACAACGACGACAACGACAACAACAACAACAACAACAACAACAACAACGACGACGACGACGACGACGACCACAACAACAACAACAACAGCAGCAACAACAACAACAACAACAACAATAACAACAGCAGCAGCAGTAGCAGCAACAACAACAACAACAGCAACGACGACGACGACGACGACAACGACAACAACGACAACAACGACAACAACAACAACAATCATTTAAGACTGGGGACACTCCGTTCTCCCCAGTGCCAGGGTTTTCATAGGAGGCGGGCAATACCCCCACTTTGTGGGGGGGCCGGTTCAAGCTCTACCAAATTTCCAAACGACTCTTCGCCACCACCCACACCCAGCTTCCCGCCCTATGACGTTCGGACACTTCACTTCGTGCATGCGGACGACCGTGGCTACTATTCAGGGCCCCGCGGCCGACGACGACGGCGTGCGCGCGCGAAGAAAAAACGAATGTGTCCCGCATGGTATTATTTGACAGGGATGATGGCCCTGGCAGGTGCGCAACCGTTGTTGCAGAAGTTCGAAAAAGTTGCTCGCAAAAGCCCGTTGGACAGAAATGTTTAAAAAGTGTTGGGTTTCCTGCGAATCCGCACGCAAGAGCGCGCGGGATGAAATTTTGACATTTTTTTTTGAAAAAACATTGGTTTTTTTTTATGTTTTTATGTTAAAATCGTTCCGAACACTAAGCTTTTGGAAGGATTTCGTCTTGCGCGCGCGAATGTCCACTTTACCTTATTTTTTGCAAGGGATTCTTGAAATTTGATTATATTAGAACAAGAAATGTCATTTTATAGTGTTTTTTGCAAGGGAAAACGGATTACAACAACACAACCGGATCTGGATCACATCGTTTTACCTGAGGCTTCCTCACGAAAATGATGAAAATGTAGCTGCGGCCTAGGCGGCGCAGGGGGGGCGTGCACCAGGGGGCCCAACAATAATTATTCTTTAGAAGTAATAATATTCAACGACAACAACAACAACAACAACAACAACAACAACAACAACAACAACAACAACAATAACGCAACAAGCAGAATCCTCATGACGGATCCCCACTTCAGCCGCGCACATTGGGACAATGAATGACCGTTCGGCCCCCTCACTCTGATGAGTGTGCCGATGTCCTTCCTCGAGGGACGACATACCCAGGTGCGCCCAAGAGAGAGGTGAAGAATCGGGGGGGAGCGCATCACAGCCTGCGCGGACGAGGGGGAGCTAAGGGACGTGTTGAGAGAAGAGGGGGGACCTGGCCATGCTGCCTACCCCTCCCTAGTCTTAAGTCGGGCCTGTCCCTCCACAGGGGGAATATTGTGGGTACTTTGGGGGTATCTTTGGGGTATTCTTTAGTTTTCATCAAAAATCCGCCTGTAGGGGGACAGGACCGACCTAACCCTAGTCCTCACCCCCGCCCCCAGCAGACAAGGCTAGGAGAAATGAGCGGAAGGAGGCGGCATGGGGTAAGACGAGGCCAGGACTGGGACAAGATCGGACCAGGACAGATCGGGGATCTCTGAGATTCGGCGGTTCGTACCGGGCGCCCCAGCCGTTCCAGAGCGCTTTGGAAGTTCCGGAACGCTCTGCAACTCGGCGGCGAGCCAGGGGGAGAAGTGAGAAGGAGAAGGCCTTCTCAGAAGGCGGCGGGGCTCCTCGAGCCTCCTGACGGGTATTATATTAGGGGATCAAAAAGTGACATAAACGTAAAAACTGGGAGGTCCGCGCAGACCTCCGAGTCTTTATGTTTATGCCACTTTTTGTTCCCCTACTGACGGGTATTATATGTGTCTTCGCGCGAAGGCCCGAGAAACCTCTCAGAGGCCGGGGGACGCCCCGAGCCTTCTGAGAAGGCCCGCCCCCTCTGCTGGCGGTTGTTGGGTCACAGCTCGGGCCTCCGGCGGCCGTGCCGGGAAGATCCGGGCACCCCCGTTGAACGCCCTCCACGAGGCGCGGCTGCCGGGGCGCAGCTGCCGCGGCCGGAAAAAGCAGCGCCGAGGGCCGAGGACGGCGGCCCGAAGGCCTCGCACCTCTCGAACCCGCAGCGCCCGACGCTTCCCCCCCTCGCCGCTGCCCCTGCCCCGGCGCTGCCCGAGGAGAGGGCGGCTGGGCGCCTGCGCCTCGACACCCTGGGCGGAGGAGGAGGAGGAGGAGGAGGAGGAGGAGGAGGAGGAGGAGCTGCGACATGCTGTCGCTGCGCAGGCCGGGCTCGAAACTCTCCTCCTCTCCTCCTCCTCCTCCTCCTCCTCCTCCTCCTCCTTCTCCTCCTCCTCCTCCTCCTCCTCCTCCTCCTCCTCCTCCTCCTCCTCCTCCTCCGCCTGCGCCTCGACGCCCCCCGCCCCCTGGGAGCACCCTGGGCCCAGGGTCCGCGCGCACGCCCCCCTCTGCCCTGGGGAGGAGGCACCTACGCCGATCCTGGGCCCAGGATCGGCCTGGCCAGCATCGGTGCTTGTGCACAGTTTGGGTGCCCTGCGACCCTGTGGGTGGCCCAACAGAGGGTCCAGCTGGAAGGGGGTGGTGCGATAGATTTGGGGCAAATGTGTTGCGCCAGGGAATTGTACTGCATTGTACTGCAACAAATATATTGCACCAAATAAATTGCACCATATCTGATTATTACACCACCCACTTTTGGGTCAACCCGAGAACCCCCCCTCGGCGGAGGCACCCAGGCGTGGGTTCTGTGCCAGCAGTACGGCGCGCCGGCGCGCCAGCGCGCGCCGCGTCGGCGCGCCCCGGGCCGCTTGCCAAACAACGGATTGGTTTGTTCCCTCCGCCTAAGACGAAGCCAGGAGGATAAATCGGGTGAGGACAAAGTCGAGTGAGGACAAATTCGGCTTTGTTCCCTCCACCTAAGACGAAGCCAAGACGAACACAAAATCGGGTGAGGATAAATCGAGCATCTCTAAGATCCGGCGGCTCTGGAGGATGTCTCGAACGCCGCGGCCTTCTCAGAGCGTTCTGGAACGCTCTGAGAGCGTTCTGGAACGCTCTGGGACGGATTTAACTCCGTCCTAGCCCCGCCCGACCACCCCCTTGTGCTAGACCTGTTTCGCCCTCAATCCTCCACCCTTCCTCTCACTCCCCTCCCCTCTCGTTTCATCTGTTGTTTAACGCTCTCCCCGCCTCTCTCATCCCTGTTTCCCTCGTCCTGGCCTTTCCTCCTTCCTCTCCTCCTCCTCCTCCTGCCTCCTCCTCCTCCCGCCCTCCTCCATCCTCCTGCCTCCCTTCCTCCTCCTCTCTCCTGTGCCTCCTCCTCCTCCTCCGCCTCCTCCTCCCCCCTCCTCTCCCTCCTCCTCCCCGCTCACTTCTCCCTCCTCCTCCTGCTCCTTCTCTCCTCGCGCCTCCTCCTCCTCCATCCGCCTTCCTCCTCCTCCGTCCCCCCGCCTCCTTCCTCTCCTCCTCCTCCTCCTGCCTGCCACTCATATACCTTCCTCTTCCTATCTCCTTATCCCTCCCGTCCGTCCTCCTGCTCCACCTCCTCGCTCCTCCTCCTCGCTCCTCCTCCTCCTTTTCCCTCCTCCTCCTCCACCACCTCCTCCTACCTTAGAGGCGCGCCAACTACACGTGGCCAGCAAGGAAGATATACCCCCAAAGGGAGCACAGTCGAAGACGAAGAGGGCGGGTATCAAGGGTTCGGGGCATACACGTTGAAAGACACGCGGGCAACGAAGAGCGAACAATTGTACAACGCTTGTTGTTGCTTTCTACCCCTCCTGGAACAACCGCGACTGAGCCTCACTAAGTTGAAAGCGAAATGGTCTCATCTGGTCCATTCGAGAAGCAGATTGTGCAACAAAGCAATGACCACCGCGCCAGGGTCTTCAACAATGGCCACTGCCAGAAGTGTGGGAATCTACCCAGGAAGTGAGGAGATGAATCCGAATCACAATCACGCAACGATGATCAATGCCGTCACCACCATCAAAATCAGCATAGACATCCGCGACAACGACGGCCACGACGACAACGACGACGACGACGACGACAACGACGATGACGACGACGACGGCACATGAAGGTCTACGGCGGTCCCTGGTCCCTTCAGGTTCCTGGAAGCCTCCTGAGGCCTCCTTAGGGTCTCCCCGCCCGCGAATAACAGGCCACAAGCATTCAAACCAAAAAAACTGGAGTTCGATCCTCAATACTCATCGCCGCGCCCCTCCCCGCTGGGTCTCCGCAGTGATGCGCTTGAAGATGGAGTTGTGCGCTTCGCGGC